TTTGATGCTCAGATATTGTCAAATCGATCATCTCAACATCAAGATGCATGGACATGAGAAAAAAATAGATTTCAAGTTTTGGAAATAGTACTTCTTGGAACACATTTTTGGACCGTCAATTTTCAAGATTTTAAAGTTTTCATAGATCTATTCTTATTTTTGAAGTCTTAAATTTTATAATTAAAGATGAAAATATATTTAAGACTATCACAGAGATTTTCAGTATTGAAACCACATTTTTTGATACCATTGAAAAACACTTTACTTTCATTGTTTAGATCCTCGGCTCAATACAAACCACACTCATTCTCTTTCTCAAGGTGGCGCTATCTCCCACGTTTCAATGACATAATAAATTAGACATGGCTGATAAAAAAGAGGAAAAATTGTAACAATTTTGAGTAAGTAAATGGAGACCAGTAATCCAAAAGAAGTGAGACATAGAGATGTGGAATGGAGCGAGTGAATGGAGAAAATGTTTGTGAGGGAACATGAAATCTTTTTACATTACACACACTTGAAGATTAGAAAGGAGGCTGCATGATCAAGAGTTCGTGGAGCATGGTGAGAGTTCCCATGGTTTAAGATATTTATCAAGGCTGGATTGGTCTGATCTGATTGGTTGGATTGTCAACAACTTTGTTTTCAGAAATACTGTGTTATTTTAAAATAATATCTCATTTGTTCCATAGTATCTTGTAAGGTTTGCTTTTGTAGCGAAAAGTAACAGGTTATTTATATATAAATGAGGAAGCTTTGCATAAATATGATTTATATATATCCTCTTTACTGGTGGTCTAAGAACCAAATAGAGAGAAGGCTTAGGAGGAATATGAACAACGTGTACATACAAGGGTGTGGGGAACACTATAGTGCACTTTTTAAGCTGGCATCGGTGCATGAGGAACCCGAGTGCATGCATGGGTCGAGCTCGAGACTCATCCTATTTTTTTTTTTTACTGCACTACGCTATTTTCTCCAGTAGATTGTTGTGCACTTTTTAAGCTGGCATCGGTGCATGAGGAACCCGAGTGCATGCATGGGTCGAGCTCGAGACTCATCCTTTTCTTTTTTTTTTTTTTTTTTTTTTTTACTGCAGTACGCTATTTTCTCCAGTAGATTGTTCTCTCTAGTGGATTGATGGTCGATATGCGTCTTGGCAATTTGGGTTTGGTGTATCTGCATGCTCCGTTGAAATGTGCCCTACCAATTGTAAAGACTCTTGGATCATTTGCTAAAAGTGTGGCAACTGCTTTTCGGGAACCCGAGAAGGTACTGTCAAGTTGTAGCACATGGCCCACACTGATGGTTGAGATTTTTGAGAGACTTGATTCTTGATTTGATTGAGTCATAGGAAATATCTAAAGACCACATCTCTCTATAAAAATGGACTACTTTCCTCATTTTTGTATGCAAGTTTAAACATACGAAGTTTCTTTACTTTCCAAAATGTTTTACAACTTTCTCACATACCAAGTTTTCTCACATTCCAAAATGTTTTACAACTCTCTCTATCTAGAAGGGACAATTCTGATACTATAGATCTTGTAGCACTTTTATATTTGTATTGATGAGATAATTTCACAATCTTTTGCTCCTACATATTCGAATGACAAATTTTCCTGTTAAAAACTTTTTAGTTTCACAATCTTTTGCTCCGATGCGTTCGGATGATAAATTTGCGTGTTAGAAAATTATAGTTTATTACCTTTCTTCTCCTATCTATTGGGATGACAAATTTACCTCGTAGAAATTTAAATACATACTGATTCTCATTAGTAATGAGCAAATATTATCTTAAGAAAGAGATACATCGCACCCGTAATAACATATATTGAAACATGCTTTATTTCATTAACCTTTTATTTTGCCCCATTTCACCTTTTATTTCCGATATCAGTTTTGGTTCAAAACAAAAATTGAATTTGCCCCCAATCAAGCAAAACTACTATTTGCCCAGTTGGATTTGTTAGTGTTATTTTTATAGTGTCTTTTTGTACTTTTTATGTAACCCCACCCACATATATAATATATGTGACCCTCAATCTCAACCGTCAGATTTGAGTAGATGGCATAAATGGCTTGAGTTACAATATCACAAGTTGGCTCTTAACCATCATATCTTGGTCAGACAACTCATAATTTTTTTATTTTTAATTTTTATTCTACCAATAATTTTGGAGCAGAATTGAGAGCATTCATAGATCTGACAAGGGCGCACATGATCAAAATAATAAAAAATATTTTCGGATGCATAGATCTAACAAAGGTGCACATGATAAAAATAATTAAAAATATTTCCGATGATAAAATTACCAAAATACCCTTAAAATTTTCAGGAGCATTTTGGTTATTTAATTTTACAGAAAATACTTTTTTTTATATACCAATATCACTGTAATTATATGATGGGAAGCCCAAAACTTCATCCAAAAATATTTTGTAAAAAAAGAAAGAAAAATAAAACAATATTTGGGGTAATATTGTGGCATGAAAGTCACAAATTATATGTTGTTGGGGGCTACACAACAACATTTCCCTCTAATGTTTGGTGATGTCTATGAGATCCTCTGATGATTAATAAACTGCAATAACGTTTTATCAGAAAGAACATTTGCACTAAGCATTAAGAATTCCTTGTTTTCCTTTTTCTCGTTTGTGTGAGTGAAAAAAAAATCACCCGAAACAGAAAAATGGTTCAAATCGATAATGGATTTGAGGCGCCAGGCCAAATGAGCTGATAGCAACGCAGGTGTCTTTCAAACTTAATAATTGAACCTCAAACTTAATAATAAGGTGGAGCCAGATAAGCTGAAAGCAACACATAAAACATTATTATTATCAAGGTTTTGGAACACGGTGGATTTAGCTTTGACCCAAGCCGAGTTACTTGGGGGAGTCCAAGTGGATTCACCCAGGTTATGCCGCGCCCAAAAATGATATGTTTTGGTCGAAAAATCCCAATTTTCACCTTCGATCAAAAGAGAGTATAGGGCTATTGCCGAGGGTTAAATCACAGTTTCAACAGATTTGGAGCTAACTGTGAGAGGGTGGACTGGTTAGGGTTTGAAAAAAAAAGTTTTTTTTCTTACACAAACTGAGTATTTTCTGTACAGATCTTCTAGCTTTTGATCCAGCAAATAAGTATGAGGATCTTACAGGGTTGAGTCAAGAACAAACAGAACCAGGTTTCAATCAAATTGAACTAAAAAAGAGAAAAAATATGTTGAGTCAGATTGACTACATAAACAGGTTTGCTTCACAAAAAAAAACAATGAAAAAAATTACTTAATCAAAACTATTGATCCAAATCGATCGAAAATTTCTTGACTCGGATGAAGAATAGAGAATATTATAGCATATAATAATTCTCTTGATCAATTCTCGATCAAAACATCCAAATTTGGGAAGGGTGACACACCTGCCGTTTGTCTACACCCCAACTCGCCGCGGCCAAGTAATGCAGCCGTGTCTCTGAACACTTTATTATTATTCATTTTTACCTTAGCCAAACAAGTTAATGACTGTATTATTATTATTCATTTTTATCTCCTTGTGGGCTATAACCTTCTTTATAAACCTTGGGACATTGAGCAAGCCATCCTTGGCTATCTCTAAAATCCTTTCTCAGCCCCACCTGGCCCCCGACCATGGGAGACCTTAACTTCCTGGTCTTACCTAAGGACAAGGCCTGGTGGTTAGGGAGACCAAGAAATCTTAGCTGCCATCTCCAACCTAGACTCAGACAGAGCCCCTGGACCTGACGGATTCCCCATTGCACCTTTTAAACTGTTTTGGGACTCCTTCAAAGCAGATTTCCTTGACCTCTTTAACATGTTCTACTCTAGGGGGTTCTTTGTGGGGCTTTGAATGCCACTTTCATAGCACTAATTCCCAAGATTGAAGGGGCATCACAACTCAAAGACTTCCACCCTATTAGATTGGTCAACTCCACCTACAAGATCCTAGCTAAAGTTTTGGCCTCTCGCCTGAAAGAGGTCCTCCCTTTAGTCATTTCCCCTCCTCAAAGCGCCTTCATAAAAGACCGCTAGATCTTGGATGGGGCCCTCGTGGCCCACGAATGTATCCATTCCAGACACCTAGCTGGATTGTCGCTAAGGTTGATTGGGAAAGGGCTTACAACCACGTGGATTGGGACATCATGGAAGAAACCCATACAAGGATGAGCTTCGGAATAAGATGGAGAACCTAGATGAGAGTGTGCTTCTCGTATCCCTTCTTCTCCAGTATCATTAACGGTACCCCAAAAGGGTATTTCCCATCTACCAGAGGCCTATGACAGGGAGATCCTTTATCTCCCTTCCTCTTCACCATAGCAGCTGAGATTTTCAGCCGCTCCCTTTCCAGATTGTATTCGGCTGGCCTCCTACATGGTTTCTCAGTCTGCCCTCGAGCACCAATGGTCTCCCCTCCAGTACACTGACGGCACACTGGTGTTTTGCAATGCCTCCCCCGCTGAAATTCGTTACCTCTTCCTCTTCTTGAGGTGCTTTGACTTTGCAACAGGCTTCGAAGTCAATTTTCAGAAAACAAAAATGATGGGAGTAAATTCAGACCTTACTACTCTCTCAAACTTTGCAAACACTTGGGGATGTGGGTTTGAAGCCTTGCCCTCCAAATACCTAGGGCTTCCTCTTGGCAAACCCAATCATAGACATTGGTCCCATATTTTAGACAAAGTTGACCGCAGATTTGCTGGATGGAAAGGCCGCTTCCTCTCCCCGGGAGTAAGGCTGACCCTTATAAAGGCAGCCCTTGCAAATATTCCACTTTATCAAATGTCCATCTTCCACATGCCAATAGCCGTAAGTTCCAGAATAGAACAGCAGAAGAGAAGATTATTTTGGTTTGGAGATGACTCCAACAAATTCCATCTGATAGCCTGGGATAAAGTCCACCAGACCAAAACAAGGGGCGGCTTAGGAATCAAAAACCTTCAAACCCAAAACAAAGTGCTCCTGGACAAATGGTGATGGAGTCTCTCGACTCTAAGAAACCAACTGGGGATCGACATCCTCAAACATAAGTACCACTTGCCGAACTCTCCCTGGTTACCTAACTACAGGGCTAGCCAGAGGTCCTCTGGCATCTGGAGGTCAATTTGCGCAGTCTTCCATGCCTTCAAATCTCGCATAAGATTCCATCCAAGGTTGGGTAACCGCAACCTTTTCTCGCTAGAGCCCTGGTTAGGGCACACCCCTCTTAAGGACAAATTTCCAGACCTCTCCTCCCTAGCTAGAGACCAAGGAGCCACTGTGGCAGAGGAAATGCTCCCAGCAGGTTCCCTCCGCTCTTGGAACCCACATTTTAAAAGGGCTCTAACTAATCAGGAATCCGCAAACTTTGCCGCCCTCGCTGCCAAACTTCAAGCTTGCTTCCTGGCCCCTTCAAGATCAGATCGAATCATTTGGACTCCGGCTCCTTCGGGGGAATTCACAGTCTCCTCCTTTTTCCGGAGTCTATCTTTCCCTCTTACCTTACCTCTTGCTCCTACCGCAAAAGCTGCCCAGGCTTGGACTTCTTTTGCCCCACCTAAAATCAATATTTTCTCCTGGCTGACCCTTTCCCAGAGAGTCTTGACGGTAGATCGGTTACAAAGAAGAGGTATCCCAATTCCTAAACAATGCGTTATGTGTCTCCCGGCTGAAAAGACCAACAACCATCTCCTGCTGCACTGTCCATATGCTCACAATCTTTGGGGAGCAATTCTAAGACACTTCAATGTACAGTGGGTGTTACCGGCAGAGGTGACATCCTTTCTTTCTTTGGTACAACCTTTCCCCTGGCATAAAGAGGGAATCCTCCTTTGGAAATCAGCGGTGGCTGCTGCTTTGTGGGCACTTTGGATCGAGCGTAATAACAGAATCTTTCGGGGGGATTTCTCACTGTGGCCCAAGGTGCTCAACAAGCTTAAGTCAACCATTATCTTTTGGGCCACCAACCACCATTACTTCAAAGGAGTCTCCTCTTCGGCTTTCAGCCAGGATTGGAGCTCAGTCCTTCAATTCCATCGCACACGCCTGCCGCGTGCCTCAAGATGGAACCTCCACCCTAGGGACAGCTTAAACTTAACTTCGACGGCTGCTCTCTAGGAAATCCCGGCCCCTCAGGAATAGGAGCAATCCTCAGAGACCACCTCGGTTCTACTGTGGCAACTGCTTCCAAACACATTGGCCATGCAAACTCTGTGGAGGCTGAAGCGACGACACTCTTGGAAGGCCTCAAACTTGCAATCCCACTCCAACTGCACTCCCCCATCATCGAGGGAGACTCCAAGAATACTCTTTCTTGGGCACAGAATCCCCCCTCCTCCTCTTCTCCTTGGCAGTTAGCACACTTGGTTGACGAGATTGAATTCCTTTGCAAGAAAATGTCCTTCATGTTGATGCATACTTGGAGAGAAGGAAACCAAGAAGCTGACATTTTAGCCAAAGAAGCAGCAGCAATGGAGATCAATTAGCATTTAGCACTTGTCTTGGAGTTTTGGTTTATAGTTTTTGGGTTTTTTGTCGGATCGACCTGTTTTTCTAGGTTACTGTGACTCACTGTAACCTCTTAAAAGAGGATTTTGATTCCATTTGTTGGCTCTATCCTTGAGCATCCTTCTTTTGTGGATTGCCAAGGTCTCGTACTTATCTCCTCTTCAATTAACACAATTAAAAAAAAAAAAAAAAACTTGTTTGGCTAAGACAGTGCAAATTCTTTATGATGCCAGAATGAACTTTCATGACAAAAGCCTGCTATATGTGTATGCTACATATGATACAAAATAAGCTCTTCCCTACCAATAACATGAGACTAATTTCTTTAGCATCTTATCTCATGACCCAAATTATAAGTCAAATTCAGGAAGCTAGAATCTATCAAAGAAATGTGATTAATTGGGAAGACTCAAATATACCTGGATCTAATGGACCTGGTAGTAAAAAGACTTTCCATCGACTATAAAAAAACTAGTTGCGATTTGCTAAAGCCTCTGCTTCAGCCAAGGCCATGGGATCGTCCTTCACCTCTGGTTCGTCCTTCTCTCCTTCACGCTCCTCAGCAAGTCTTCTTCTCGCTTCAACTTCCAATGCCTTGGCAGCAGCTCTTTGTTCTTCCTCTAGCTTGCGTATTTCCTCCTCTTGTTGTTGTCTCTCGAACCAAGTGTCCGCATCAGCCCAAACTACGAAGAAAGAAAGTATTTTATCAAAGCATACCAACTTAGGACATTAGTAATCCAACAAAAAACAAAAAAAAGACTTTCAACAAATTTAAGAAGCCTTTTAGTTACTAAGTAGAGGAATGAATCCAACAGAAGTTCAGGAAACTTTGTGAACAGAAAGGTCTCTGATCTCATTTTGGCATAGGTATCTGTTTTCAGACTCTTAGTTTGGGAAACTAAAAGCACTTCAAGAATCTCTCAAAATGTAATATGGCTAAATGAACTCCCCAGATCTCCAGTGGCAAGAGATTTCATCAATTGCTATGGTGGAATCCGACCCTTATCTTGAAGTACCAATAATAGAAAAGAATACAGAAAGGAATGAAAAGAGCGACTTACTTGTTCTAAGGGCAACATGCTATTTCGCCCTCTTGGTTAGTTAGTAAGGCATCAGAGTTTCAACAGAACGGTCTTGGGTATGGACCCAGTTCAACCAATAAAAGAAAATAGTAAAAAGGATCATAACCTAATAATGTCAAGAGTAGACATTCTCCCTCCAAGCACAGATAAAAAAAAAAGCAATACAACAAGGCACTAAATCACATGCAAACTGAAAGAAACATTATTAACAGGAAAAATAAAAAAATAAAAAACTCATATTCCAAGCAATTAGGAATATAATAACAAAATCACGTTATACAACAATCCTGTTTGAAAAAATCAGATCAATCCTATTCTCCTATAGAACCAATGGGCTGTGGATGTAGCCCTAGAAAGCTAAGATGCCTAGATGAGAATATGGATATGGACATGGATAAGGAAAGTGGATATATGACTAGGCATTTCTTGAACTCTAGGACCCAGTTGTTTATACGAGTATCTATTTGACATGCACATGTACATGCACAAGCACGTGTACAAGCATGCGAACAAACACATGCCACCAACACATGATACAAATATATGCCACATCATTATGCATATTTTTATTTTATTCATAATATACTTTTAAGGGAAAATATCTCCGTACCCCTTATTTTTGGATTCCATTTATCAAGAGACCCAAGGATTTAAACTATTTCTCGCATCATAAAGTCTCTATCTTTTCTATCTTCCTACTGCCTAGACCCCTTTGACCATACATTATTGGCCTAAACATTTTGTAAAATGACTCCATCTCTATCTCTCTCAAAACTCCGTATGCCTCTCCCCTCTCTCTCTCTCACTCTCTCTCTCTCAAAACCGCGTGCTTTTATTTGGGCTTTGTAGTGAGAATTCAGAGAAAGAAAAGGAAGCACTCGAAGTTCTCCCGCCATTGACGACCTCACTGTTATCCAGTCCTTGCGTTCCCACCTCTCTTGGTTGAAACCTCTGCATCTTGTTAGGGTTTTGATCATCTTCTTTGCTTTTGAAGCTCTGTGACTTTCTAGGGTGTCAATTGTCTGTTCTTCATCAAAGTCACTGCAACTTGTTAGGATTTTGTTTCTCTCATTTTTGTCAAAACCACTGCAACTTGTCAGGGTTTCAGACCACTGCTTTTCGTTGAGGCCTCGGCAAATTGAGAAGGTTGTAATCCTTTGATTTGGGTTGAGAATGACAGAATCATGCTTAAGGTCGCCTGAAAAAAGGGTTTGTTGGAGGATGCAAACGCCAAAAAGGGTGGTGAAGCAACTGAGAAGCCGTTGACCTTTGTGATGGCTCTCGCCTGAAACACTTCTCAAGAAATCAAGGCCGGGATCTGAAATTCCAGTGAATTTTTCCTGTAATTCTGGCACCTTCCCTATGGCCATCTCCACGACTGTAAAACCAAGAGACCATACATCAGAGGTCGCGATCTGTTCCCTCCTTTTAAAAATTTCAGGCGTCATCCACCTCAAAGTGGGCTTATGGATGTTGCAGAGAAAGAGAGAGACAAAAAAGTAGTCGGTCAAGAGAGAGAGAATGGATTGAAAAGATTACTTGCTCCTCTTGCCCAAATAACAGAGAGAAAGAGAGGATGAGAGAGGTGAGAGATGAAGTTTTCAGAGAGAGAGAGAGGAGAGATACGGAGTTTTGAGAGAGATAGAGATGGAGTCATTTTACAAAATGTTTAGGTCAATAATGAATGGTCAAAGGGGTCTAGGGGGTAGGAAGATAGAAAAGATAGAGACTTTATGCTGCAAGAAATAGTTTAAATTCTTGGGTCTCTTGAGAAATGGAAGTAAAAAATGGGGGGTACGGAGATATTTTCCCTACTTTTAAATGATATGTATCAATATTCTAGGAGTATCAATATCCTATATAAGCATCAGTCTCCTCATGCATCGATCCAGTATATTAAGCATATACATGTATTGCACATAGTAGGCAGTGATAACAAACAATATTCAGTAAAAAGGGTAAAACGGGACATGAAAATTGGGCAAATCTGAGAACATGTAACATGATTAATAACCAATTTGACTCACAGGACAAATCAAAAGAAACCGAATTGTACGCGCTAGAATCAGGCTAGAGCTTCATTGGTTAGATGTTAACAATTGCAACGCTACAGTCCAAGTTTAATTCCTACCACCGACAGTGCTAAAAAAATCGGCCGACTGGCTTCCTAGGCCATGTCGAACCAAATTGTCCTAGGAAGGCTGCCTAGGTCTTGAGGTGCCCAAGCGCCCACGTCCGCCTAGGCAATCGGTTGGCGCCTCAAGCCCTTGGCGAGAGGGCGGAGAAATGCACTCGGACAAGGGTGTTTTAGATCATTTTCCCCTGTCTTAACAGGCGAAAAGGGTTTTGGGGTGTATTGCAAACCCCCAAAACCATTTTTTCTTGCTTTCAAAGAGAGAAAGACTCAAAAAAAAATTAAGATCTTTGAGATTTTTTTAAGATTAAAGTTTTTTAAAATTTTTCAATTTCTTGCGAAATTGAAAAGACCTCTATACTTTTTGTGGGTTGAAGTGGTAATGAAAGGATATTTTTGGCAACCAACGGTCACCAATTTGAGCCAAGATCTATTGCACCTTGAAAGGTTAGTAAACTTAAAATCTTTTGTTTAGAGTTTGTTGATTTATATGAAGTCAAAAGATATTATACTCCCGCAAGAGTGTACGATCTATTTACTCCCTCGGGTAAAATCCATCTAGGATTAATATTGGGAACCAAAATTTGGGGATGTAACCTCTTCAACCCCATAGATTTAACTTCAATAAAAACTATTTCGTAATTGCAGCTTTTATGCACTTCAAAAATTAATGTCTCAAGATTGAATAGAGACAATCCAATTTCTAGAGGGTCAGATTTAAGTGTTAGAAAACTCAAATTTTAAATTTCTTTTCTTTTCTTTTGAAAATAATCATTTAATGATTCTTAGGTGGTTCCCAAATTTTTAGATTTGGAAAAAAATCCTCCCAAGTAGGTCTTCTAATAAAGAGAATAGACATACATTATGATCCTGCAGGATATAGTATATGCGCTCCTTTATGAATGTTGGGTTTACCTTTTTTCTTTTTCCTTTGTATTTTGTTTTGCTTGTTTGGTTTTTGTTCTTATAATTTTTTCCATGTTTATGTTTGGATGTGGCCTATATTCAAGAGTGAGCTGGGGTAAACCAATCTTAATATAATGTCATGAAACTTAATCCAAATGGATTTTTCTAGTTTACGAGTCTTATATTTATCTCCTAATTCAAAAAGGGCCAATAATGTAGATTTTTTCTTTATTCTTGTATTTTTTTAAGTTTATGTTTCGATTTGTGGCTCATATTCAAGGGTAGGTTTTTGTTTGTATTTAATGGCATTTTACTAATATTGTGCTAGTAAAGTGCCATTAAAATTAATCCAATTCTTCAAGTTCATTGGTCTTAAATTTGCTTCTTGATTGAGAAGGGAATCTTAAAATTTTGTGGATTATTAATTATTTCTAGGTTTGGTAACTTTTGCGTTTCAAATTTCAATGGTTAATTTAGTATTCTATCCTAAAGTAATTGATTGATGTTTGCATATCATTGAATACTTCAAATCATAAAATATAAAGTATTTCTTATTGTCTTCATGATATTCAGCACTTCTATTTTTAATGAAGTTTCATTTTGTTTTTTAGGATTTGATTAGGTGAAATTGCCTTCTTCTAGTTCTAACAGAAAATCTAATCCAGGGTGGAAGTATGGCTCGTGCCCAAATCACAATGATAAGAATTGCATTGAGTGCAAATTTTGTAAAACGAAATACCATTTCAGCATTAATAGATTGAAGAAACATTTGGCCAGTATAAGAGTGGATGTAGCATGAAATCAAGTCCCTACAGATGTCAGGAAGGAGATGTTAGACCATTTGCAGGGAATCAAAAACAAGAAAGAAGTGGCAACGAACAACTTGAGAATATCATTAGATTAGTTGATATTTGGGGAGAATGAGAAGATGAGGTACATGCTCAAGAAAGGGGTATATGCGATTGAAGATTGTAAAGAAGGCCTCAAGCAAGGGGGCCCATGGATTCTTACTTCCCATACTCTGATCCTGAGATTGCGAATCGAGAGAAGGACCAAACAACTATAGACAATCGCTTCAAGAGAAAATAGAAAGAAAAGGTTGATCAATATGTTGCAAGATGGATCTATCAAGGTGGCATCCCATTCAATGCCACTGGCTTGAAGCAGTGGGGCGAAATGGGCCAAGATTTTCCTTTGGACAATATGTACTCAAAGAGCCTACTTTAAAAGACGTGCATCTCACCCATGACTATTTTAAGACGCATATGGGGTCACTATAACGACTGACACATGGACTGTGAAGAGGCATATTATGAACTTGATGGTTAATTGTCCAATGGATACAATCTAAGGTCCATTGATGCATCAGACCAGATGCCTGATGTGGCTTTCATTCTTGATTTGGTAGAAAAACGCATTGAGGAGGTGGGAAAGAGCCACATAGTTAGGTGATTACATACATGGCTGCATCCAACATGGCAGCTAGTAGAATGTCAGACAGCACGAAGCCAAACATTCTGTTTGGACACCAAGCGCAACTAACTGCATTGACCTCATGCTTGACGCAATATGCAAGATGACAATCATGGCCTCAAATCTAAAGAATGCAAGATTCTCGCGATATTCATATACAACCACTATGTGTTGGCCATGATGAGGAAGTTCACTGATAAAAGGGGCTTGGTGAGGCCAGGAGTGACGAGATTAGCCACCTCTTTTTTGTGTATGCACTCTGCAATTCATTTTTGGCCCAAAAAGACAAGCTCTGGGCGATCTTTGTATCTAAAGAGTGGGTTCAAAGAAAGTGAGCCAAGACAAGAAGTGAGCAAATGGTGGCTGATCTAGTCTTAGCACCAAAGTTTTGGAATGGGGTTGTTCACGCCCTCCTGACTTTTGAAACTTTAGGTTTTGCGCCTTGCTGACACTGAGAGGAAGCTGGCTATGGGTCATATTTACTAGGCAATGATGGTTGCCAAGGAGGAGATTATGATGAATTTTTGGATACAAGGAAAAGCACCATTCGCCTATTTTAAAGAAATTTGATGAAAAATATATCTTCTAGTTATAGAGGCCACTTCACATAGAAAGGAATTATCTTAATCTTGCTTATTTCTATGATCATCCCCAGATTGATACTAGGGGATGCTTTATGTCTATAATCAGTAAGAGTTTAGTGAGACAATGCTAACGTAGAATAACAAGCCCGAGTGTCAAGGAATCTAGACAAGTATATATTATCAATTGGACACTTGGCACTGAATTGGCAATTTAGGCAAAGGAAGACACTCTTTCCCCTTAAGTTTAAATTTTGTTTTTTCATTGCGAACTTGTCATTTGAGTACTTTGTTCTAGCCTTCTAGGTCCAACTTCTAGCATCAAATTTGATGCCTAAATATAATTACACAAAATTCTACTCTTTTTATCTTTACATACTATTATAACATAGGTTCATTAACATAGGTTCATGATGGGCCTACATTACAATAGTAGGTTCATGATGGACCTACATTGTAATGTAGGTTCATGATGGACGATTCACGGACAAAGTGCTAGTCACTAACAGAAGATGGCTACACACATTTTGAGCTTGACAAGCAGCTCATCTGGTTGTAAGAGCAATTTTAGTTCCCTAGGATGGTAATTTCTTAGCATATTTAATTTGTTGTCCACTAAACTCATAGTTGTATTGTACTTTTTAAATTTCTTTAGGACCAATTCATGCATTATTTTTTATCCTAACAGATACACAAGGAAAAAGAGAACAGGGAACATTATCTGGATAAGGATACCATCAACCCCATCACTGCTAGACAGATGGATGATACATGCTAGTGGTTGGTCGACATTCGGGATGGTCCTGTACTCGATGGAGAGGACCTGACTTGGAGCCATGTTCGTGAGGTAACTGGAAGCCAATTAAGCCTTGAGAGAGCCACAAAATCTCAATCTCAAGGGAAGGGATAGAGAAGAGTGACAGAGGATAATGATGAGGAGGCAGATTCAGAAGAGACCGGTGAAGAGGAAGAATATGTGGAGGAGGGAGATGACTTTGATCGTAATGGCATGGCATCCTCATCATCATCAAATGCATCTAGTGGCGTTGTTGGAGATGCAGATGTTGTTCCTAGTGATGATGAAACTCAATTGTCAATTTGAGCTCATCATATTGATGTAATGTTAGAGTATGGAGTTGGACTTGATGAGTTTTATTGGTTTATGTAAGATTTGTAACTTATGAGTTATGGTTCATGACTTTCTACTTGTTGGAGATGATGAACTGATAATGAAGAATGTTGATTTTTGGAAATGGGCATCTTTTGATCTTTTATAGTTTTCGATTCTTAGTAACTAAATTTCAAATTTAAAACTGATATATGTATGATGTATCAGAGACTTAAATAGACTTAGATAATGTTTTTTATTTGTATTTCTGAAAAAAATGGTTCCAAAGATCAATTTGTGAGATTTCGTTTCCACCCCAACCCCTCAAACACCATCCTTGGGTCCTAGAAATCCCAACATGCTAGACAGGCTGCCTAGGGAACTAAGCGCCTGCCCAGGTCGCCTAGGTGGCCAAATCTGTTTTTGTCAACATTGGACTCCAGTCATGAAAATCCTTCATATGGATAGGATGGTAGGGTTAAACAAAGAATGACATGCCTCCAACATTACAAAAAACATTGAAAAATGGGAGATTGGGCATGGAAAAAAATAGCCCAAACTTTCACATTTGATTTTGTCGATTTGGAGCCCCCCCCCGCCGCCAACCTACTATACAGACCCAAAAGAGGAGACCAAGCAAAGTAAACCCCTCGAAGTTCACTTAGAACCATTAAGAAATGGGCTGAAAAAAATTGAAAAATACGAATGGGGGTGTTTTTTTATCTTATAAAATGCCAAGTCACCGATTTCGAGAGGTTGTCCCTGACTGATTCCGATGCAGATCGGTGATTCCCAATCTGGATAGGCATTTTTTAAAACACTGCTTTAACTATGTCTTTACCTAAGATGTTTCATGGACTCCCCGCAGGCAGTGCTTCTACTTCTTCATGAGGTCTCCTCCATGAGTGAACAAAAGTCACCCTCAGGCCTCAGCTTAGCAAATCTCCAACAAATTTCTTTCAAACTACTTTGTGAGTGCCAGGGACAGGCCTCTTTTCCATAACCTAACATTAGTGGCATCCCCCTCTATGATGAGTCAATTCCACTCCTAAGCCGGTAAACAGTGACAAAGCGTCTGTGTCATTGGAGTCATAACTGTGAAGGGTCAAGAGTAAGTCATTAGGTTCTTCCCATCATGATTCCTAAAAAATTCCCCAACTCCAGCAGGCCCTAGATTTCCTTTTGAGAATCCATCGCAAATTAATTTTGACCTTCACTAGAAGGGACCCATTTCTTTGTTCTTCCTTCTCTCAATAGCTTTGGTCCACAAATCTATTTATAATGAGTCTCAAAGTCATTCACTGTGAATCCCCTAAAGAGTTCCTTCCTTGACCAAGCTCAAGAGATCATAATGACTCAAATGTGCTCCTTCAAACTCTCTAATTCCCTACTTGTATCCCATCTATTATTCCGCTTTTGCCATGTGAGCCCAGTACTGTCAACAGAGTTAGCCTCCACAAAATGAGGCCCTTTTTCGGCAGTTGTGGACAGAAAGCCATTCATGTTGAACAATTCTAGAATAACGAACTAAATGTTCCAGAAAAAGGAACAATGCAAAAACAGATGATTCGCATTCTCAGCACCTCTTTTTTTCCTTTCTTTTTTTTTTCTTGCAGAATTGTGATGTGGGGTATGGGCATACTTATGTTTGTCAAGCAGTTGGCTGCCAGCACCTTCTCTAAGGTGGCCAACCGCATAAGGGCCACAGTTTTGGAGGGCCTGAAATAGACCAATTTCTGTGGGCAGTAAAGTTTGCTGCATAATCCCAATTATTTTTTTGTACCAATGTGTGATATTTTAGTGCTCTACAGAAGTAACCAAGCAAATGAAATGGATACATGCACACACACTTAAACAAAAATAACACAAAACTAGATCTTTACAATCACCCAGAATGAAGGAAACACTATTCAATCAACTATATATACATACAACCATTGGAATGAAATTGGTAATGCGAATATGTTACTGTTAAAAAAAAAAAAGCAAAAATTTTTGGTGCGTCAGGGTCTGCATCTTTTATCATGCGGGACTAAAATCTACAACATCCACATAATTGAACAGTTCACATTTGTGGTTAAATATCTAGAGAGGGATGCTGATGGCTGCAGTACCGCTTTAACCTCTCCCAGTTAATTGAAGATACGAAACCTCTCACCTTATTATTTTTCTCTCTAAAACACCCAAAGCTTCTCCCCCTGCAACACTTTGGGCAACTGTCCCATGGCCACCACTAACCTAAATGTTTAAGGACAAGGTCCTCGACCTTGCGCTTCTCATCACATAGCTTGCTTAAGCTGCTGATTGTTTTTAATAAAGTGGTCCTCTGCTGTGGCTGGATAAAGGCCAGGTCCAACCGGATAGACGAACTGCACTCCTCAAGATTGAAATTGAATTCCTTGAACTCATCATCAAATCCATCTCCATCTTGTTTTGTTTTGATCACTATGGGTTTCTTTTCAGAACAATGTGATGGGGAAGAATATGCTGAGTCCAAACAATGTGAAGACGATGGAGAGGAGAATGCTAACCTATCTTTTTCTCTCTCTAAAGACCCACCTTGAACTTATCTTTTCCTGTCATCAAATAGTCTCACGTGCAGAACAGATGAGTAAGCCAACACCAATCTTTCTTACATTCTCTGACTCTTGCCTCTCTCTCTTGCATCTGCAGTACCTGAGGTCCGGCTTCTGTTTCACTTTCTCTCACGAGAGCAGCAGACGCGAAGAGAGGCAGTAGCCCCATTTACTTTCTCTCACTAGAACAGAGGAGCAGAGATGAGAAAGAAATGCATATGGGTGAAGGGCGTAGTTTTGTGTAATGAGAGAGGGAATCACATCGGAGGTGGTGCACAAGCATCCAAAGGCCACCTAAGAAGGTTGCACCAGATTGGGCACGAGTCTTGCTGTAGGTCGACTGTGGGTTTCTTTTCACTGTGCAATTATATGTTTTAATAGAAATGCTTAAGCTCTTTAAAATCAGACATGTTTGTATGAGAACTGGAGTTCTATCATATACATGATAAGTTTTAATGGAAACTGTTGGATCTTTGAAGTTAGACATCTTTGCATGAGAATTGTATGTTGAAGCATTTTTTTGAGATCAATGGTTTCTCTTTTTGCAAGTATATCAGACTGTTTTGTTCTGGTTCACTGCTATTCAGGGAAAAGAAAAGAAGGCTCTTCAAATAAGAGAGAGAATGGAGACGAGCCTCATAGCAAAAATCTCTACCTCTTGAATCTAGTATTGGACTTTCGAGAGAGGTTGGCAAAGAGATTATTGCACTTCTTCCTTTGCCATGGTGTTTACTTTGTCTGCTTCATTTAGCACACCACCCAACACAATTTTTGTTTAATTGGAGGCTCCCATATCCCCTCTGCAGAGTACTTATTCACCATGGGTTTCTATGATTTTTAGTTGTCTTTAACCTGGCGCTCTCTGGTTGCGCAGTTGCCCATCTTGAAATTCGGGCACCACCTACTATTCATTTATATGAATGCCCTAGATGAGGGCACGCAACATAGTAGGTGCGAGCTCGGACGCACCAAATCCGGATCCCAGAAAAAGATACTTGATGCAATAAAGACTAGTCAACTATTCCAAACAATCAATTCTCAAACAAAAGAACAGATAACAAATGGCCCAATTCATAATCTGTCCAATTAATGAAATGAGTAGTGTCCAAAGTGGGTAGTAAAGTTACAATAAGAGGGTTATAATTTCACAGAGTTGTTTGTCTAAGGGCTTGATCAAGCTTAATTCTGATGAAAGCTTTTCTGGGAGCCCAAGACCAGTGGTAATGGAATAAATAACTAGGAATCAGAAAGGTAAATTGAGGAAGGCACTTGTAGGTTCTATCGGATTCAATCACTGGCTTGTTTTATTTATTTGTAAGATCATTAAAGAAGGTCCAATCTTATCAAGTGTGACTGGTTTATGTAAAAGAGGAAATTGGACATTTTACAAGTACAGTAAGGATTGATCTCCTCTAGAATGTTCAGGTGTAGAGGAGGATATCCAAGGCAAAGTAGGAGTCACTAGATATGGTTTGGATGTTCAAGACTGCCTCTTGTCCTATACTTCTACCCATGACTACTACTTAAAATAAAAATTACACTATCACAAACAACTATATGATTGATATAAGGAAAGAAGTTATTTTTTCTCTTTCGGTTTTTCCATTGCTGATTAAATAAGACATTTTTCTTCAGAAATGAAACCTAATTCAGCAACTCATACAAGTGAAATGATATGGGTTAATGTAAAAATACACACCGACAAAGTAAAAGCATTATATTGTGGGGAACCCATGATTGAATCAACAAAAAGCTTTCAAATACCTAAGCAAATAATCCAATTCAAGAACCAACCCAACGTAGAGTGTACTGGACTTACTTGGCTGGGAAGCCCAACCCTGTTCACCCCCCTTAATCCGGATTGGCTGAGCATAATTGACAGTCAAGACCCTTCCATAAAGCTCTGCATTGTTCATGTTATCCATGGCTGCTGCTGCATCCTCCTTCTCAAGGAATGTAACAAAGCCAAAAGACCTGTGCTTTTGTGTTGCCTGGTCTAGTGGTGTGGTCACATCCTTTATGTCCCCAAATGGAATAAAAGCAGAATGTAGAATTGCCTCATTCACCTCCTCTGCAAGACCACCTGCACATACACACATGTATGTATGTAAGTATATATGTATCTGTGAATGCGTAATGAATGCATGTATATATGTATGCACTGCATATGGGTATGTATTTGTACGAGTGTATCTCATTATATACGTATGTGTGTATGTTGGGTTGCATGTATTTAGAATGCTCAGGAGCATCAGCACAATTATCTCCAATAAATTGAATTTTTTATCTTATCATTATAAGTTCTTTTGCTGAAAATAACTCCATAATATTGTGATAAAATGAATTTATCGGGCTCCCCATTATTATCGCGATAGAAAAGTTTCCTGATAATAGCATGCACATAATCAGAAAGAAAAACTTGAACTTGAACAAGACGTGTCTCATCTAACAAAAAATAAATCCAAAATCTCAAAAACAAAATTGGGGAACAGTTAGCAAGGAACTTATAACCGATGTGTAAGTTAAAAGCTATTAAGTTGGATAATGATTTTTTGACATTTTTCAATTTCAATGGATATTAGAAACTATTGTCAACTTTGTCATTTGTAAAGTTTTGAACATATTTTTCTGTGCAAGTTGAATACTAATTTCAATAAAAATTCATTCCATGATAAATAATATACCAATTTAATATTAAAAGTCTCGGTAATAATCTCATAAACTCCCGATCAAAACGACAAACAAAATAATATCCCGATAAAACTTCCGAACCATAAACTTCCAACAAGAACGATTGTCACTAAGGTGAGGAGAAGCAACATCCATCAAAAATTTAATGACAATCACAAATTCATGTATGTATAAGCACCATGAATACAAAAATAAGTGGCCATCGCTACATCATGTATGTATGAATGTAGAAAACCCATAGCCAGAAAACCCAAGTAACTCAAATCCAAGTAAGATTGTATGCATGTCTACATACATGTGGGAACATATGTATGAATGGATGTCCATATATTTATGTATTCTATGCAGAAGACCCATAAAGAAAAACCTAAAGCTTCATGAACACAGGTAATTCGAATCCATTTTTACCCAGGAAGAAAAAAAGAATAGCATAAACTGCATTGGATGGATGGATTATTGCACATGACAAAAAACTAGAAAAAACCAATTTTTTGGACATAAATGAATGACCTAGTTCAATATAAGCGCTCCTCATATATTATGCACCCTGCGGGCATTAGAGACAGAACCAAGTATATATGAGAAACTTAAAAGCCATTAGAAAACCAATGCCTAAAGCTCAGATTCAAGAAACGCAAATGGATATGCAGTATGTGTATGAATGAATATGAAAAGAGTATTAGAAAGAGGAAGAAAATGGTGTATATACCTACATAAAGAGTGTTTTTCTGGGGCGGAAGCGCATTATTAGCCATCAACTCTGCGGAGAGAGAGAGCCCAAAAGCTCGTTACTTCGGACTTTAGAGAGAGAGGCCCCAAAAGCTGGTTCGTTTGGACCTTAGAGAGAGAGGGAGGAGAGAGAGACCACAAGCAGGCTTGTTAAGGGCGGAGGTGAAATTTGAGAACAAAACCTTAGTTGCAGACTTGCAGGTAAATCATGTTATAAAAATATCGTTTTCACATGAATAGTACTATCATGTCTCTCATCACCGTCAATCATTAGGTTGAGCGGTGTGAAATAGATTAGGGAGGTGGGTCTGCGATGCCTTAGCACGTTTCTTATTAATTGATTCAACGGTACTTGCATCATGGTCATCTTGCTATGACACCGAGTCATACTCCATTGCATTCACCGTCGTATTATTTATTTTAAGAAAAATTACGTATGTATCTGTTATATTTTTTGTTATTACTAAAATACTAAATATTTTTCGTTATTTTTAGAATATCTATTTTTTTCACTTCATAACGGAAAAAAAATTATTTTACCTTTTTTCGCTTTTTGAACAACCGAATTTGATTTTCGGTTGTTTAAAAATAAAATATTCTAAATTTTCGGTTTTTGAATAACCGAAAATTTTATCAGAAAAACACTAAACATATGAGCATAAAGGAGCCTTTTTATATATATTTTAGGGTTATAAAAAAATAATGTCCCCCAATACCATATCCTACGCATTTTTCTGTGCCCCAATATAGTATCCCACAAAGTTGAAGGGATTGGCTCTCTGTTTGGTCGTGATTGGTACCTTTCATACTATTGCCTTATACTGTTAATTAATTTTGTGATAATTAATACAATATTATATTTTTGTATTATTATTTTTTGTATATTGTTGATTAATAAATAATATTTGAAAAATATTGTTGAATTTATTTATTTGTATAATTATTTGTTGTTGGTATTAATATTTGTTGTTTGTATGAATATTTGTTGTTTTGGGTAGTTTATTGAACAATCGATTTATTTAGTAGTACACTATATTGTATTTGTTATTTTAGCTAAATATTGTTCAATTTGTTTGTTTGTATTAATATTTGTTGCATATTTTGTGTTTGTTTTAATATTTATTGTTTTTTGTTGTTTATTGAATAATTGACTTTTTTTAGTATTTTTATCAATTATCTAAAACTCACATTTTATGAACCTTAAATTAGTTAGATATATCCAAAAATTTGGTATTCCTTATTATATTTATATTTTGTAACATGAATTTTGGTATTCATTTAATACAGTAACATTGACGATGGTTACCGAAGGAGTGCAACTCGTAATTCGATATGGGGGGTCATTTGAGACAAATCCAACTAACATACGTGTTGTTTATAAAAGGAGAAATTGAAGGTTACGAAGTATAATAGAAATAGTTCTTTGGAGAAACTAAAAAATCATTTTGGAAATTTAAACATCGTGTGTTCCAAACAAATCGGCTATTATGTAGCACAACACAAGTCTATCTAGTGAGCTTGAATTGATAGAAGTGATGATATCGATGTAGTCGGAATGGAGATCTATGGAATTTCGAACGGCAGAACCTGTTGGTGATGGCCCATCTATAAGTAATAGGTACATCTACCATTTACTTTTTCATCTTTAATTTGCTTTATTTTAATATTTTATGTACACAAATTGTTGCTTCATCTTACACTCTATCTTTTGTCAACTGTTGGCGTAACGCTCATTTACCTAATCAACATGAGAACATTCAAGTGGTGCCCGAGCCTGAGATTGTACCAGAGCGTGATATGAAGGATATTGAACCATTTGAGAACCTATGTAGAGGAGTTGGGAACGAGGTTCAATTGAAAATTGGGCAATTTTTTGAAAAGGGAAAGGTTTGTATGCTTCCCTTACAACATAGAAGTTCTATCCTCCCCCTACCATCCAGCCGTCCAATTTTGATCAAGAGAGCCACTCACCGCTTGATCTTAGATCCAATGTCTCGAAGTATTTTATTTTTAGTTTTTTTTTTATACAAATTGTATGAATATAAAATTTGGTACGTGTCATCTTCTCATTGGGGCGCACCTATAAAATTATTAAAAATAATTTTTCGATAAAATATAATGACCAAAAGATCCCTTGAAGGTTTCAAAGGTATTTTGGTCATTTAATTTTATTGAAAATATTTTTTTTATATTTTTCGTTAGTGCGAGTTTAATAGAAGAATGGACGTCCAAAATTTGGTGTCAAAATAGTTTATAGAAAAAAATTAAAAATAAAATAGTGTAAAGACGTGCCATTGTGATTGGGACAATTTTAGCCCTCCATTCAGAAAGGACGATTGGATAAGAGGGAGGATAGAACTTCTATGTTATAGGGCAAGCATAGAAAGCTTGCCCTTTTGAAAATGTCAATGAATGTCGTAATCATCTGGTTGATTTTGCTATCCACAATAATTTTGTATGAAGTTTGACAAAAGCGAAGGAGGGCGGGTGTGGACAAGTTGTAAGTCAAAGGGATGCACATTGCAAGTATGATGCTTACGCTTTGACAGCACGATATACTTCAAAGTGAAGTCCATGGTTAAGGAGCACACATGTAGTGGTCCAATTGGGAGGGTCCATCAAGCACTAGCTCGTAATGATTAAGTGACAACCGCATTATTGACCAGCCAAAAATTAAAGCCAAAGACATCATAAAGGATGTCTAACACGATCACAGTGTCAGACTTTCTTACATGCAAGCTTGGCAGGGAAAAGAGGTTGCTAGAGAGATGATAGATGGATCATATGAACAATAATATCATGACCTCCCCTTATATATGGAGAACTCTGAAAAACCAACCCTAGAGCCGAAGTTCACATCCACACAAATGAAGACAGGTTCAAACGTTGTTTATTGCTTTTCGTCCGTACGTCATGAGTTTTTTTAATGGATGCAGGCCACTAATGGGTATTAATGTGACATTCTTAAAAGGAAAATATCAAGGCATATTATTGTGCGTCATTGCCGTAGATGCAAATAATAAACTCTTTCCAATGACATTTGCAGTGGTTGAGAAAGAGAACTACCAGAATTAGTATTGATTCTTTAACTATACTGAATGAGCTATTGAATGAGTTTCCTAATTTATCTGCCTTAACAATTGTATCATATTGAAAGAAAATCCTGCCAGAAACAATAGAAAAATGTTGTCCCACATGTTTTTCAATATTCAGCACGCGGCATATAAGAGAAAACTTCAAGGGCTTTATAAAGAAGTAAGCAAATATTGAAGTATTGTTGATGCTGTTTTGGAAGGCTGCCCGTAAAGCGACTATTGGTGGGTTTGAAAAAATAATGTTTGATATATAGTGTGCCGACCCAGAAGCATATGAGTGGATTAAGAATATCACTCTCAAATCTTAGGCAGATGCATATTTTTCAGGGGCAAGATACATTCATCTTACCTCTAACATAGCCGAGTCATTCAATGCTTGGATTTTATCTACTCAAGAGAAGCTGATCATTACAATTTGTGAAAAATTAAGGGTACAATTGATGGCCAGGTTTGAAGAGAAGAGGGGATTAAGTAATAGTTGCAAAGACATGCTAGTACCGAAAGCCCAAGAATTACTTGACTTGTGAAAGATGAAGGTACGATTTTTTACACACAGTTATATCCACCATGGATACACAGTTTGAGATCCACTATCTTGGGAAGAAGTACATTAGTCGATTTAACTCATTCGACGTGTAGTTGTAGAAAATAACAACTATGTGACATACCATGTAATCATGCTATTGCGGCTATTAACCACATGCTTTTGGATCCCACTGCGTACTCTCTTCAGTATTTCACAATGGAATACTTTAAAAGGGCCTTTTCAAACTCCCTTTGGGCCTGTCTCGGATGATATTGAGTTGACTGGTATGTTTAACCAGACAATGTTGCCACCAAGGACGACACACATTCCCCATAGGTCTAAAAAGCAATGAAAAATATCTGAGACTAAACAATCTATCACCAGGCCTTTGAAGTGTAAGTGATGCAATGCAGTGGGTCATAATAGGAGGACTTACAGAGAACAGATAGGCCATTAGGGAGTGAATCATAATTTCATTACATGCATTATACTTTGGTATTTTGTATCGAATCATTATTTTGATGTATTAATGAAGATCGTTAATTTTGTGTTGTCAATCTTCTGTTTTTGTACTTTGTGTTATATACAAATCATTACATGGATTATATACGTAATAGAAAATGTGACATATTTGTTAAACTAAGTGGAGATTATACTTTGGTGCTAATTGTAGATGACATGCCCTTCCAAGTGTGGGCAATACACCTTAATATCAAGAAGCCCTAAAGAAAGGCCAATAACGGTCAATGGTCTCATTGTTAATGGAATATGCAGTCTACAACCGAAAATAGAATATTTTCAGTTGATGTCTTGTTTTTGGATGTTGAACAACCAATAGGACAGGAGGTTAAAATTTGAATTCTTATTTTCAGTTGTTCAAGAACAAAAAATAAGATATTTTTGGATGTTGAACAACTGAAATGTCTTATTTTAGGACTGCATATTCCATAAGTTTGCTGGAATACCCAGTCCTATTTTCGAATGATGAACAACCAAAAATGTCTTATTTTCGATTGTTGAACAACATAAAATATGACAAGAAATTAAACTTTGAATCCTTATTTCGATTGTTAAACAACCAAAAATGTAATATTTTCGGATGTTGAACAATCAAAAACGTCAAATTTTTTGTTGTTCAACAACCGAAAATAGGACATGAGGTTAAAATTTGAATCATTGTTTTTCATTTTTTTAAGAACTGAAAACAAGATATTTTCGGATTTTGAGCAACCGAAAAATGTCCTATTTTCGGTTTTTGAACAACCAAAATTAGGACTGCGTATTCCATAAACTTGCTGGAATACGCAGTCCTAATTCGATTGTTCAACAACCGAAAATAGGACAAAAGCTTAAATGATATCGTGAAGTTTCATAGATAAATTCTTTGTAAAGTTTAGCTTTAATGAGATTGTAAAGTTTCATTGAAGGAGAGATTGTAAAGTTCAGCGTCCATCTATCATGTTTCCCTCTTTCCCGGTTATGTTTTATTTTATTTTCATCCTGTATATAGGGAGTTGCGTTGTTCAAATGTTCATTGTAGATGGACATAAATATTCCCACATAAAGAATAAAACATACTCAAATACAA